TGCTGTCACTGGATTATTTGGCAGCCACCGGCTCACTAGCATAGCTGCTCTCTGGTCATCTGTGTGGCCAAGTGCATCCTTTTTTCCTATCCAGAGCTTTCTCGTACACATACTGGTCCCCACACACACAGCTAGCACTGTGACCTTTCCTGTCTCTTCATCTTTTAGCATCTCCTTTGCTGGCTAGGGTGTGATTTAAAAGAAATAGTGGAGGACATAGATCCTGTTTAGATTACTTATATCCTGAATCTGGTGCCATGTGCGTAAATATAACAGTCTCACCCAGGTGAACAGGTTTCATTTCCTAAAATCCTGCACCAACTACATTTTGGGGAAGTAGGTCTTGGTGATAAACAACAGTACAGATTGTACTTGAGGACTTCTGGCCACAGACATTTGATGAATCACAATCATTGTGCTCCCTCTTGCAGAACTCGACCATGCCCACTAGGTGGAGCTGTGGATTGGATTTCTGAGTGCACTTTGTGTCACTGTCAGGGTCAAAGCTGGGTGGTGTTTGCAGACTTGCTCTTTGAAATCGTCATTATTACTTAGAGGCAAATGTAACAAATATACATCACATTTAAAAGGAATCTTACCAGAAGTTTTAAAGAAATGTCAGATGTTCTGAAAACCTTTCATTTACATGGACTACTACAGAATGTGTTTTAATGATATGTTGCCTCTCATATGAGTAATATATATACCCTTTGACCTCCCCTACCTCATAATGGCCTGGACACAAGCCCGTAGCCACAGCCTCTTTCTCCTCCACTATTTTATACTGTGCACGGAAACTAAAAGCATATTGATTTCCATAGCCCCACCGCAGCTATCATCTGACACTGCCCCCACCATCCGTGTCAGCATTCCTTACAGTAAATTACTGTGACGCTGTCCTCCCCAGACCCTCAGACACAAACCTCCTAGTGGCCACATCAGCCTTTATTGTGCCCAGCACCTCCTGTCTGTTTTCTCACTAAACTCATCTCTTCCTGTATGTCTATTTCAGTACTGTACCGTCCTACATTCCCCCTCCCTCCCTCATCTCCTCTGCCCCCCTCAGAAGTTACTCAGGGTAAGACCAGCACAGCAGTAATTCATCTTTGGATTTTAGTGCAGCAGCTATTCTACTATTCTGTACTATAATCCTTCCTTTGACATCCCACATCTGTCACCTGTTTCCAAGACTGGAATCCAGCCACTTCAGGACAAGTCATGGCTCACCTCAGATGAGGTCAAAGAAAATGCATGATGCATTGGAAGCCAGTAAAAGATGAACACTGGTTATATATTAGAGGATTTTAGTAGTGCAAAGAAAGCAGCAGCAGCCCAACAACTCTATATTCACATGAACTAAAATAAGTAAAAGATTTTCTGGGGCCAGATCGTTCATAGTGCAATAAAAAAACAAAGTACTGCAGCGTTATTTTACACCAGTAGAGTTCATTTCTAGTAATAAGTCTAAAGAGTAAGACATGTATCTATACTGTTTGTGTTCCTGTGTTGGTATGTCAGTCCACCATTTGGGTCTAGACTGAAATGTCTCTGCCGTGATTAGATTGCCATGGAATCTTGTTTGGTGATCCTTTGACACCTCTAGTGCTACCAACAGTCAGACATTTAATTTGTCCAATACTTTGGTTCATGACCTGCAAAACAAGTTGTTTCCTGCATTCACATCATTGTTAAACCATGACTATGAGCAGCAGAGTGGGGAAAGCCATTCTTGTGAGCCTCCAGCGTAACTCTTAATTCTCAGTCAGGAATATCAGGAATCTTTTGACACCAGCTGTGCCTCCCACTTTGTAAAAAAGAACAACAGAGATGACAATAAACTGGCAAAATAACTGCAAATGCACCACAACTGGCAGAAATAAAGACTAGTACAGACCAGCGGAATACAGCAGTGGTCTTTAGTACTAGTTTAAAATAAAAATGGTGCACGTGCATTACACATGCTAAACATAACATCCTCGTCATTGTGAGCATGTTATCATGCTGACATTAGCGTTTACTTTGTCCCTTAGTACAAGTGTGCAAGTTCAGCCGCACAGAGCTGCTATAAGAATTTCTTGTCTTTTTCACTTTCAAAGGCAAATAAAACTAATTCAAAAACACTTTGGGTCATACAGATACAGCGTTGTTATATAGAACGCTTCACAGTAGAAGCAGCATTAGAAAGTGAACATGGACTGCAGTGAGCCAACAAGAAAATGCAGTATATCACTGGGAAATTAAATTACAAAGCCAGAGGAGCTGTTGCAGGTGTTGTGTATAAGAAACCAGGCACATTGAGGAGAGTTGCTGGAGTGAGAAAGTAGCACAAGCAGCCGACAGCAGAATGTCGCCAAAGCAGCGCAGTCAGTTAGGAAGGAAGCATAGGGAAGAAAGGAGTGGGCAGCTGAGCCAGATGTGGAAACATGATTGGGTCAGGCGTTGATTGTCTGCTATAACATAACTGTAAAGGTCCTGGCTAATGAGAATATATCATTAGCTGTATGGTGGAAGTGAAGAACACACTGTGTGTGATCAACACAACAACTCTGACACCCGTTGCATGGGCTGTTACCTGGTGAAACTAAACTACCGAGACAGTGAGCCAAGGATTTGAGTTTCGCTATTTTAATGAGAATTTCACATTAAAGGCTGAATACAAAGACAGATTGTCATCTTTTAAAAATATGCCACCATCGGCAGCAAGTTCAACAGACCACATTTATCCCTCCATTGTTTCCCCTTTTCACTAGATTTGCTCTGATGCCAGCCAGTTATCAGAACACAGCACCATCTTTTTTTTGTTTTGTTTTTTTTGCTTTGTCCATGTCAGCATTTGGCCAAGTACCAAAAGTAATCACTACCTCTCTCTGTGTGTGATACCTTATGGGCAGCAGCTTTCAGCTGATGGACAGCCAGCATGTCCTAATCCCGTGTGGGTTGTGAGGGATATTTTGTTACCAACACATAACACCCCTTTCTGAAATGTGCCACCTTTAATGACAGGGAATCAGTGACAGTGTTTGTTATGCATGTCTAGGAGGGAGGATGTATTCTGACATCTGTAGCTGCTCAGTGCAGGTGTGTGCTGCACATTGGGCTGCCTGTGTGTTCCTGTTCCCAGGTGTGTTCTAGCCAGTGCTTTTTAATGTTTTGGGTGGAATAAGCCGGTCCTCTGTACATATTTAACCTTGGAACAGGAAGGCCGGCCTGAATGAGTCACTGGGAAGTGACTTGCTGCGAAGTGGAGCGATGAAGTGCTGTTGTGTAGGTGAGGTGTGTTCAGATTAAGGGGATGATGAGCTCGGTACTTTCCTACACACAGTCCTCATCTCCACCAAGTGGGCCTCAGATCACACCCCATCAGGTTTTTATTTTCTTTCTTGAAACTTCATTTTCACCCAAATCCCTCTCCTCCTTATCTCAGGTTCACATTTTAGGCTACTTTCTTCTCTTTTTTTCCAGAGAGGCCTGTTCTAACAGATTGGCCAGCCCCCTCAGCCTTTGCTGGCTGACAGTGTCTGGGCTGCTTGCTCTGGGAGACGGAGAGGGAGGGGTGTGGAGGTTGGTGTCAGGAGGACAGCAGACAGTTGTTGAGGGCTCAGGCTCTCTTCTCTAAGTTCTACACTGCTATTGGAGCTCTTCACTGCTCTTTGACGATAACCCCCACACACTCCTCTCTGTCCCTTTCCCTTTTGGTCTTTGCCCTCACACCAGTCACTCTCTTTCATTGCTTTCAGCTCTCATTATCTTCTCCCCATTTGATCTCTTTTAATATTCATGTCTGCTGCAGTTTGTTCTCCCTCTTTGTAAATTTCACCCATTTCTCCAATCTGGCCCTGCTGCACAGCCTC